ATTTCCAGACCGCATAATTTCACGAAATTCAGACAGAGATCGTGCGATTTAACACCTCTTGACTATTTTCTTTGGGGATTTTTGACAGGAAAAGTGTATGCGAATGGTCCCCGGACAATTCAAGACCTAAAGCGCAATATTGGGACTGAAATTGCGGCCATAGACCCGATTATTCTGGGAAAACTGATTGCAAATTTTGATGTTCGGATGTTGGCCAGTAAACGAAGCCGCGGACTGATATTATTTTTCATACATAAATGGCATAAACCAACCTTCATTTATCGATAAAAAAATTAGATTTCACCTCGTAAAAAGCGTGTTGATTTTTCAAATAGAAAAAAAGTAATAGATGACGCACCCTGTATATTTTGGGAAAAATGCACGGATACGTCAATTTTGATTTCTAGGTGACATCTTTGCATTTATAGCATCCAGGGTGCATTACAGTTTAGATATTTGAATCGAAACCCCCATTTCTTTTAATGTTTAGATTTTCCATGAAGTTTTTTTTTGTATAATAAAGTTTATATCTATCTTCAATCGTTATGAAACTTTATTTGAATCTAAGAAAAGAGCGTTCCCATTTGAAAATGCCATATCTCATATTTGGATCACCCTATAGATGAAAATACGTCCCGCTAGAAATCGAATTTGACGTGTCCGAGCGTTTTTCCAAAAAGCCACAAATAGGGGTGCGACTTTTCCGTTCGGCCACCCTGTATAGATGCACCATTCAGGAAATAAATAATGTCTGGCCAGCGTTGCCAACCAAATCCGAGAGAGCCTGAAAAATGTATATAACTGTAGAATATTATTTAAAAAACTGTAAACCTACAGCCTTCCATTTACACGAATATCTGTCGCGGACCAAGGTCAAGGTTTTTTGAGCGGTTGTGGTTCCGGTTGGCTTGAGCGACATAATTTAAATCATTTAAGAAAGGTATACGGACGAATATATTTTTTATTAGCCTACTCTTCCATAGATGGCGCTGCATATCGGTAGCCAGCACAAAGCCCGCCGTTTTGATAGGAAAAAAACTGTAGTTTTGATGGCTCGAATCGCATGGGTATCATGTAAAAAACCTATAAAACGTAAAAAAACCTATATGTCATCTTACAGACTATGTAGTTTTTTCCACGTTTGCTCACTACAGTATATTCAGATAAGAGATAGACCGGACATAAACAAGACCACGTGATCATCGAACGCTGTAACATTCGGCAGGGACGTATTAAGAGTCACGCAGTACATATTTTAGATAGTAGATGCTGCTTTGCGTAACTTTGTAGTAAATTAGCACAATTCGATGTGTATACGATTGGTGATGGATATAGGATCATGTGGGAGTGGGGTAAGAAATATATAATGATGTAAATATACATAAGGGTTTCAAAATTTTCGCTTCGATTTCCAGCTTCGGATGCCGCCTGATGTTTGGTGAAATACAGTCGAATATAATCTCAAAATGGCGTTTAAATTAGCCTAAATTAAAAATAATCGTATATCTCTTAAAATTGCTTTTAGAATATTGATTAGTATATTTTTTGATTTCTAGGTAAATATGTAACCAAATTAAAACGTTCAAAACGTAAAAAAATGTGCATGGTTGAACATTGTCATAAAGTAGATTCTTGAATAGGTTTTACCAAAATGGGTTCAAAAATGTCAATAATTAATTAAAAAATACAGTAGCTTTATAATTACTTATAACTTACCGAATTTGATGAACGACATCTTTTATTGGAAAGATGAGCTTGATGAGCTTTCATCATCGCTACTGCCTGAAGCACCAACGTCAATAATGAATGGCTCGACTTGTTCCTCTAAAATATTGTCCAGTTCCCACATTCTCTTTTCAACTTTGTCTTTCACGTGCTTAATACAGTTTTCCCATTTTTGCGCTGTTATTAATTCTAGTGCTTCTTTGAAAAGTCCTTTGAGGTCACAAAATTTAAAAGTTGTATTGTGCTTAGGTATATAATTTTTAACCTCTGCCCATATGAGCTCAATGGGATTGAGCTCGCAATGGTATGGAGGTAAACGGAGCACAGTTTTATTTTGACTTGCTGCCATTTCGTCAATGGCGTATTTTTGATATTCCGCCTTGTGATCCTTGACAATTCTTAATAATTGTACTTTCAGCATTGCTTCTTCAAAGTTGATATTTTTCGAGCGGAGCCAATTTTGAACATCAACGTTCCCTGAAGCCGTTGTTGGGACCTTCTCCATTCTTCGAGAATGATAAGGCGCATTATCCAACACAATTACTGCGTTTTCCTCTAAGTTCGGTAAAATTTTTGAAAACCACTGTTCAAACGATTCGCCATTCATTTCCTCGTGGTAATCTCCAGTTTTCTTAGACTCAAAGCACCACAGACCGTCAACAACAAATCCATCCTCACTGCCAATATGGCAGATAATGAGCCTTTTCCCTTTACCTGGAAATCGAAGTACTAACTGGTGTAGATTTATTTCAATAAGCGAACCTTTTTCAAATGTTTTCATCACATTCAGCGAAAAAACATTGAGACATGAGTATCAGATTGCTATAATTGGGATTATTTAGTCATATTGAAAGAAAGAATATTGAACGTCGTATGATTACTCAGCGCTTCACAATTTAATTTAAAGTTATAAACCTTTAAAAAATGAATGATCAGGAACCTGAAATACGCGCAAATATTAATATTAACAAATTATAACTTTATAAAGCTTAAAGTATGAATTAAAATGATTAGAAATATTAGGAACGGTACACAATATAAAACTTAGTAACTTTTTTTAAGTTTATAATATTCGACCTATTTTAAGATTATATTAAAAAATTATTGAAATATCGAAAACACATAAAAACATGGCTTAAAAAAGTTCTAACAAATGAAAATGACAATAAAACATCCACGCATTTTATCGAAAGTTATAAAAGTTTTGTTACTTGTAATATGTTTTATCTGCCCCCTGGAATTAATGTTTAGAACCTTGTTCCCAAGGTTTGAAAAACATCCGATTGTTGTCTATTATTCGTATTTATCTGCTGGATTTTTTAATCCGGTGGACAGTCCATCTAGAAAGGCCCTCCTGGATGAAGTTACAGAATCATCAACCCATACTTTACTTGTAGTGTGTCCTGCGTTTACCCACGTTTCATCAAGGTAATAAATCTTCCTGTTTTGATTTCTATATTTCCCAATTTTTGTTAAATAATCCCTCCTCCATAGCACAATTTCTTCTCTATCCAGTAGTAAACTATTACGACCCCGTTTTTTCCATTTGAAATTTAAATGCTTCAGTAACGCATGGAAAGTTGATCGTTTGAAATTTGGCAACGTTGTATCTCCATTTACCTCCTGCAGTACTTTATCTATAGTAGGTATTTCATTCCTAAAGAAGAATTCATGCACTTTCCTCCTAATCGCATGCTTATCAGCTTCATCCAATGATTTAACAATACTTTTGCGATGTTTACTGGTCATTGGCTCAGAAAAGGTGTGATTTTTTTTGTATTGTCTTAACACATTAAACACTGATGCGCGACACACCCCAACTTTGTGAGAAACCTTCACAACAATTTCTTTGATGGTTGATGCCTCGTTCTCCTCGCGCTCGATCTTATATATATTCAAAATGACCTCTTTCATTTCTGCACTCAGGTGTCTTTTTTTAAAGCGTTTCCTAGGTGGACTACAGGAGTTTACAACTTCATCGGCAGTATCTGTACTACTGGGCATTTTGAGCAAGCAGTTGATAACAATAACAATCAATAACAAGGTATAACAATAACAACGACAAACTCAACAACTTAATAAGATAACAAACGAAAACGTCCAAAGAAATATCAAATTGCAATGATGCACACGACATACGTATCACGTCTGAACCTGAATGTGACTCTGCCTTGATACGACTGCTCTGCCGCTCGGCATAGGCATTTAATTGCGAATTGACCAATGAGGACTCCTGTTTTACGTCGAGACGGCGGCGTTAGCGTGAAAATCACCCGAACCTTTTGTTTACATCCGGTCTATCTCTTATCTGAATATACTGTAGGATCGTTGTGAAAGTCCATCTAAGGAGGAATCACCCAACTAAGCTACACGCATTATTGGTTGCATATGTTTTGTGAGGCCAAATAATGATCCTTGACTGTAGTTTTTATCTTTGAGAAGAAAGTTGGTTAAATAGCAAGATCGCCTCTGGATGATTATGTGTATTGGTCATTACTGAATATGCTGCCAATGCAGTATATCTATTGGCTATGCCCGACGGGTTATTTTTTAAGTTATGCTTTCTGAAGAGAGGTTATGATCAAAGTCATAAATTACGAAAAACTGACGAGAATTACGGGAAATCATCACCGCGCCCGCGTTGTGTGTAATTACTGTTAGCATGTATATGGCTTGTAATTCGACAGTGTACGGTGATTATAATTATTTCTTATCTCTCTCATTTTTGAAATTCAGCAAATTTGTATATGTAATTTCCAGAATGGATACGAAAAAGTGTATGCGCAACTAATTTCTAGCTTTGAATCTCAATTAAGTGTATTTGAGACAAGAACCCCATGTAATTATCATCAACACATACAACTCGCAGCTTAGGCCTCCAGTAATGCCATCTCAGAAGCATCATCAGAGCCAAAGATCGATAACAAGCCTCATGACGTTTAGGCAACACGTACTACTAAGTGCTAAGTTAACATCTTGTAGAAAAACCTACATAATGTCAAAAAAAAATCGGCATAATGTGCACTTTTCAAAATACGTGATACCCGATTTTTTTTAATCTTTGTTTTTGTGGATTTGTAGACCTTTTTTTCTGTCAAATTTAAGATTTTTGAAAATCAGTAAATCCACAGTTAAAACTGTAAGGTTGGCAACCCTGTGTCTGATCATCGACTCGTATTCTCAATGCGTAACGTTCGGTGCGGTGTTGTCGGTTGTAGTCTGCTTGCAGTATGAGCGAGTTTGTGTTATGCGACAGTCTGGTTATGTCTGTGCAGCTACTCGGTGTCGACGTGCGCTACATCGGGCGCGCTCGGCGGGGCGTCGACCCCTACGCCGACGGTCGCAGGCAGCATGGACTACCTGGAGCAGCTGGACGACCCGAACATGGACCTCAACAACCTCATTAACCTCAACGAGCTGATGACCGGCGGTCCACCTCCACCGCCGTACAAGCAGCGAGGCGACGCAGGTTTCTCGTAAAAGGCTGGTCCCGTTCGAGGACAGGTAGATAGGGTAGGCATTTTTGAGCGGTGTTGCCAGGCGCATCGATGACAATTGGTGTCGCATGATCCTTCGGGGTCATGGAAACGGTGAGAGACAAAACTTCGCTTAAATGGGGGCAAAGTGCGTATATAGGTTACTAACCAGATTGAAATACAAAGTGCTTAGGGAGAAATCGTTTTAATTTTACCTTTTTCTACGTATAAAAGAAATACAAGGAAAATCGTGTGTATATATAGTGGACCTCCGGTAATCCGACAAACATTATGCAGGGCAGTGTCAGACTATCGAATTTGTCGGATTATAGAGCACTGCCTAAGACCCCCTATAGTCAGGAATTTTTTTACAAAAGAGTACCTTGTAATCCGACAAATTACATATCCAATGGTAAGATTATATGTATATGTTATGTATTTGTATTTATGTACAAATCATACATAGTTTATGTATGTCGTATTTAGTAAATTAAATAACAATAGAGAGCTTACGTTTTGTTATAAAATTAAGCATAAATGCACATACATATGTACCAAAATAATCAAGAATTATTAATGAAAATCGTTAATGAATTATGAAGCTTGGAAATATTCATCAATTTTTTTTTGTTTAAGGTTGTTATAACGCGAGATGAGAGCTTTGTCCCTCAGTCTTATCAAAAGTAGAAGTTCGTTGTAGGATGTACCATTCTCTTCAGCCCATTGTAAACCTAGCTCAAAAGCGTTAATTGCGTCTTGTGCTGTAACTTGTGGAGCAGTTGCAATCACGTCGTCGTTATTTTCCTGATTGTTTGTTGTATAATGTTCAAACCTGCATGATCTACGTTAGCGAAGATTGTCAAATACGTACATACATATGTAATATAATGTAATACATATTCAAAGACATGTCGGATTACATGGGGCGCCGGATTATCGGGGGTCCACTGTAATTGTTTTTAAAATAAACAAAAACTCCAAAATTGAAAAGGTATGTTAGGATGTACATGTATAATATATGTATGTTCATGCATATATGTAGCAACACAAAACAATGAAATAAAAAGTTACTTTAACGACTCAGAAAGTCATATATTGTCGTTTGTCTCCTCTTTTTCTTCAAAATGCCTTCTTGAAATCGTATTTCTTTAGAAAGAAGCTCCAAAGACTACCTGATTTTCGACTAAACTTTTGAAATACTTGGCCATTGTAACAACTGTACCATGATTTGGAATAGCTTCTATTGTACTGGAACCTCGGAAAATTCTTGTATTTCAAGTGGATTTTCAATTTCTTGGCCTGAATCTGGATCTTTAACATACAAACTTTCATCTAGGTCCAAAAAATCACAAAGGTTTTCATTATCAGTCAATTTCAATAAATTCTGAAGTTACATTAAGTGGTAAGTCATCTTCTGGGTCAGGTCATTCACTTTGCATATTTTCATGCTTAAATCCTGCATTGTGGAAGCAATTTTGCACTGTTTCTTTGGTAGCTTGGTCTGAAGCGGTTTTGCTAAATAAATTTTATCGAATGACGCAATTTTCTGTATTAACTCAAAATCTGTACCAGCTGCTTCAATGTTTACTAGCAGGTGTTTGAGTATTAGACTTCGTTAATAAGTTTTAAAACTCTTTATAATCCCTTGCTACGATTATTTAAGCGAATGTCTTTGGATGAGATCCTGCATTGTCTAAAAATAACAAACTGTTCCTTTTTTCTTTAGCCATTTTCCAATATAGATCTTTACTCTGTTATAATTTGTCTTGTCTTCCAAGCTTTCTTGTTGCATTTTCGAGTTACACGATTGATAAATACAATAGCGTTACTCAAAAAACAATACGTTTCTTTTTATTTTGTTTTTTGTCCGGTTAGAACATTGTCCTCTTGTCCTCCAGCATCAACTTTATTTTTTCTACCTTGGATTTTTGCACAGATGACTGTTTTCAATCCTGACTTCAAAAATATATAGTCATACATGGACATTGTTAAAATTTAAAAAAAAATAGAATTTCCTGAGATGAAATTATCTGATAGTCATTTGTGGAAGAGAACAAATGATATTAATCTGAAATTTATTTTAAAATCCCACTAGAAGTCAGGAAAAATTATAACTATTTTGTGAACATTTTGTCTCTCTCCGGTATCTTGAATTACGAAACTTTCTAAGCGGCATTTTATTAGCTACCTAAATGCCCAACTTTGCTCCCATTTCGACAACTTCGTATCACTCGCCGTTTCCGAGATCCCCGGTGTAGCTCGACCTTTACCGGCCTGATACATTTTTTTATAAAGTATATTGAAAAATGTGGGTGATAGGTTGCCTAAAAAACAGACTTCAATCTGGCTAATAAATAATGAGCGACACGCATAACTATAAATTTTATTTATTTATGAAATAACTAATCATTGACGATTCAGGGTAGGCTATAAATTTTTGTACATTTATAATTATCCTGTTCTGTATTGAAAACGGATACTGTATACTGGCAGAATTATTTCGTAGCGCATTAAGAAATTCGATACAATTAATCGTTCACTTCTCGTGTCTAAATCAGTTATTATGGATTTTCTGAAAAACCTCTCTCTTACTCAAACATACCTTGAAAATCGGTCTCACAGAGTTCGCTGTTAATGTTCACTAACAGCTCTTTTGCAGAGAGCCCTGTTCATCAAAGTCTACGCGAATATACGAGCAGCATTACCCCCAACTTAAAAAAATTGGTACTTTGTAACTAAACGTTTTTGAACATCTAAAGACAAGGTTCGAGAAGTGCCAAATTTTTGTAGGGGTTAAACATTCATGTTGGGGGTTGTAGGGGCACCTATTAAACACATTTCACACATAAACTTATTATTATCGGTCATTTTTTATTTATATATTTCTGACTCTTTATACAGGGTGTCCCAGAAGTCGACGTCAAGCCGAAACCGGGTGATAGGCAAAGTCATAACAGCTATCAGAAAAATATTTAAAAAAATGTTATGTATGTGTTTTGAAAATTATAGGTCTTTGAAAAAATAGAGAAATTTCACACCCTACGGCAGTCTGTCAACTCCTGTTACTACAAATATTAACTTTTTTTGGACTTTATTTTTACAATGTAATGATGAATAATGCATCTTCAAACTGGTGTCTCAACCTTACTGCCAACTTTTCTCGTTCAGGAAAAATTGCCACTTATTTCTCAACCAAGTATTCCAAAGTAAAACTTTGCTCAACTTTAACTGGCTGTACCGGAAAAAAATGTACTACGAGAGTTTGGCAAGTAACCTTAAAAGTTGGCGCATTTAATAAGGATTCCAAAATGGTATAACACTTAGAAGATTACTCGTTAACTTATGCACAATTTTTATTTGAAGAAAAACTGATGAAAATTTTTCAAAATTTCCTAATTAAACAGCGATTATGAAAACGCACAAGGACCCTTAAGGATAACTGTTTGCACAACAGTGGGCATCAAAATGCTGCTGATGATGATTTACCTTTACAGCAAATGCTCAAACTGTTTTCCTTCAGCCGCAATACACGCTCGACATCTTCTTAAAAAAGATCGGGTTATTAAACGAGCGAATCCACGGTTATTAACAAACTCAGCTGCTTCCAATAGTTTTTGCCGTATCTCAGCTACAGTTTGAATCGGCTTGAAATACACTTTTTCTTTTACAGTTCCCCAGTAAAAAAATCTAACGGATTCAAATCTGGTGACCGGGCTGGCCACGGTATTGTACCAGACCGCCCTATCCATCTGCCTGGAAAGTTTTGATTGAGATACTCTCTCACTGAGAGTGCATAGTGCGCTGGGCAGCCATCATGCTGAAACCACATGTCCCTGTAAATACTCAGTGGCACGTCCACCAATAAATTTTGTACATGATTTTTAAAAAAATCCAAATAAACTTCAGCAGTCAAAGTCTCTGGGAACTCAAACGGACCGATTATTTTACCATTTAAAATTCCTGTCCAATGGTTTATCTTGAAGCGATATTGAGATTTATCTTCTCTCATCAAATGTGGGTTTGCTACGTGCCACTCGTGTAAGTTATGCAGGTTCATGTACCCATCTTTCTTAAATGTGGTCTCATCTGACCATACAATTTTTTCAAAGAACCGTGGATCTTCCCTGTGTCTTTCTAACATTGTGCGACAAAAAGCAACTCGGGGCTCATAATCCCGGGGCAGAAGAGCTTGAACACGCTGTACGTGGTATGGATGGAGCAAAACTTTCCAGGCAGATGGATAAGGCGGTCTGGTACAATACCGTGGCCAGCCCGATCACCTGATTTGAATCCTTTAGATTTTTTTACTGGGGAACTGTAAAAGAAAAAGTGTATTTCAAGCCGATTCAAAATGTAGCTGAGCTACGGCAAAGACTATTGGAAGCAGCTGAGTTTGTTAATAACCGTGGATTCGCTCGTTTAATAACCCGATCTTTTTTAAGATGTCGAGCGTGTATTGCGGCTCAAGGAAAACAGTTTGAGCATTTGCTGTAAAGGTAAATCATCATCAGCAGCATTTTGACGCCCACTGTTGTGCAAACAGTTATCCTTAAGGGTCCTTGCGCGTTTTCATAATCGCTGTTTAATTACGAATTTTTGATAAATTTTCATCAGTTTTTCTTCAAATAAAAATTGTGCATAAGTTAACGAGTAATCTTCTAAGTGTTATACCATTTTGGAATCGTTATTAAATGCGCCAACTTTTAAGGTAACTTGCCAAACTCTCGTAGTACATTTTTTTCCAGTACAGCCAGTTAAAGTTGAGCAAAGTTTTACTTTGGAATACTTGGTTGGGAAATAAATGGCAATTTTTCCTGAACGAGAAAAGTTGGCAGTAAGGTTGAGACACTAGTTTGAAGATGCATTATTCATCATTACATTGTAAAAATAAAATCCAAAAAAAGTTAATATTTGTAGTAACAGGAGTTGACAGACTGCCGTAGGGTGTGAAATTTCTATATCTTTTTCAAAGACCTATAATTTTCTAAACACATACATAAATTTTTTTTAAATATTTTTCTGATAGCTGTTATGACTTTGCCTATCACCCGGTTTCGGCTTGACGTCGACTTCTGGGACACCTCCCATCATAAACCGTTTTTGGCTCTAGTTCGACTTTCTAGAAAATAAAAACTGAAGCGCTCATCATATATTAGCCAATCTGAATCATTAAGATAACGTATGTAATTCTTAAAATCGTTGAAAGGTTCATTATCACCAGTGCTAGCGATTATTCAGTTTATTGTGCGCTACCTTCAAAATGTTATTCCTGTCAACCAGTGTGGAAGCCTAAACACGCGGCCATAAGTATTGTAGAGCTGGAATGTAAATAAACTCTTGATTTTTATGTTATATGCATGAGGAATGGTAAGTATATGGATAGTTCGTCGTAGTGTGTACCCAATTTTGAAGTTTTATCTTGATGATTATAGACGCGTACGTAACTAGTCGTAGGTTACAAAGATTTGCACCTTTATTACGGAACTGAAAAAAATGACAGGGATGGTGATCTGATCGACATAATTGACACTTGTACTAGATAAAAAATAGAATGGTATAATATTCAGAAACAAAACAGAAAATGGGAACGTAGCTTATCGGTACATTTTCATTGAAATGTAAAAGCAGTCAATTTGTTGTTCAAGATTCTGTGAAGAAAACATACATCTCTCAGCCAGAGGTAAGATTTTGAAATGTTCCATTACCAACTTATCTTGGATAGACTTTATTCTGCTTAAGGTGCCACGTCCTTTTTTTTAGTTTTTTTTTATCAACCTCTTTTCAGCAGTATTCTTAATCATTTTCATCTGATAATTTCATGATGTGTAAAGAGATGGCTAAAAAACAGTTTTCATTTTTTTGTCATAAAATGCATTTTTTCTTCAATCGGAACTTGTTAACAAATATAAGTGCAGCTCTGAAATTGTGTGCAAATATTCCTCTTTTATGGAAGAATGAAACGATTGATTACTTTTGTCCTCATCACTGTTCCTTTTCGAAAAATCTTTGCTTTTCTTGAAGCCTCGTCACGCAGCAAGTTGAGTTTTATTTTATATCAAATATCAACAAGTGTCAAACTAACGACTTGGCCTGATCGACTTGATTTGACTACGTAATTTTGAGGACCTTCATTAATACCTTTAAATTAGGTGGATCTACTGTGATGCCACACAGATATAGCACTAGCTGAGGTCATTCATAACTGCTCTGGCCTAAGGTGCATATACCGGTAGTTGTACCATTCCTCCATAGATGGCGCTCATAGCAAGTGTCAAGTATGGCGATCAGATCCTTATCATAGCGATAATTTTACTCATTACGGGTGCTGATGCAATATTACGTAGTAGGAAAGCGGTGCTGCAAAAGGTGGGAACAACGTTTTAAGACTGCGTCTTACGATTTTAAAATGAAGTGATCAGTGTGTATTTTTTGAGGAACTAAAGTAGGAGGTTTTGCAAACATCGGGGATAGCAAGATTTCTCGATAAACAAACTTGATATTAGGTAGATTTATGCAACGAATTTCTTAGTTATTTGTGATGATTTTCATTGTATGTGTGCCATTTTGCGTTAGAGCACAGGATTTGATAATTTAGAGTCGAAGTAATACAGCACTTAGAAACATAGTGTCTCACTTTGTTGGGCTCAACAAATCATTCGTTATTTGAAGTTATCCAATTTCTTGGACTATATTATCTTTCAATATGATTAAGTACAAAGCGGTTAAGTTTATTATTTGCTGATTGAGCGAATGTGCAATATGTTTTTGTTTTCAATAATCATTGGTGCTTTTTGAATAGTTGATATTATTTTTAATGTGTAGCTGTCATTTTAAGATATCGAACAGTACAAACCTCTCATGATACCCATTTGAAATTTACTTTTTTATAGGTATTGTTAGATTTGAGTTTTGGCTCTTTGGTAAACGAGAATATCGGTAGAAATAGACCTTTAGAGTATATATTACCAAGGACAATCCAATTTTGACATTTTACATAATATTTATCGATTGACGATTTACGAAAATAATGAGAGTTGCGATACTCAGAAATATAACGATATATTCTTCAAATTTAGAAGACTTTACGGTTCATGTTTTAGAACGATGTTGAATAAAACGGTCTGGTTAGGAAGATACGTAAAATATTTTTGGATGTTTTTTGTGTACACAAAAAAGTCGGATATGCTTGCGGTTTGTGATATAAACAAATTGAAATTTTATCTCCCGTATCAAAACCTTGAGTTAGATTCCTTAAGAAATTGTGTATCTAACAAAAATTGTGAAAAGTTATACAGGGTGCGTTTTTGGTGTGGGCGAGGTCGGTTATATTTTGTGATATACTGTGTAACATTGATATTGTAGCATTATTGCACACATTGTAGAAATAGGAATATTTTTCAAGTTAGAACATACTAGTAGCTACTATTTTGTCATTAACTTTAACCACGCTAAAAACTTGCGCTGTATATGCTTTTTTGATCTCATACAATATCATCAGAATAACTATAACATTCGACAAACATATATGTTGTATAAAATAACATATCAAACTATGAAATTTTTCAGAGACACAACTACTGAATGTTAGATACATGACTTTAGAAGAGGTTCCTAAAGGTTGCTCATTATCCTACAAAAATCTTTAATTATTACGAAAAAATCGCGATCTTTGTGACATTGGCTTTTACTAAATGTGCCTAGTTTGATTGTTGACCATAATTATAGAAGTGATGTGTGTATATATTTGAAAATGTATGTCATATGAGAATATAATGTGATAGTCAATATTCGTCCCAGCAGAGTTCGTGTTGAAATTTTAATATCATTGATTAGTTATTTGGTAAGAGATTCGTTATAAACATAAGAATTAATCATGTATAATGCCATTGGTTTATTCAATCATTTACTGTTTCGGAAATTTTATTAAGTAGGCATCGAAAATGTTTCTGAAGACGGCATGTGCGAAAATACAATTATGCATTTTAGATTTTTTACTTGAAAGATTGAAGAATGTCACTGTGATTTATTTCGTTTTTTGGCACTCATCAATGTGTTGCCGTATGAAATAATTTTGTGTATATTGATCACAGTAGATGAGCTAGAAGAATTCTGCCTCACTAGTTTTAAATCCGCCGTTAGAGGCGCTGCACAAAACCTAACGAAATCTAAGTACGTAATCTCACCGGAAGTGATCCAGGCAGTACGTCACATACGTCATTTATGTCACGTGCACGACATGCGTCATTTATGTCACTTGTGTGACATACGACATTTATGTCATGCGCGTGAACGTCTACGCCACTGGTTTTCAAATATACTATTACCTATGTAGTCTTATTTATTTTTTTGCACGTACGCACGCACAATCTTTTTTACGGTCCAGCTACCTGCCAACCTTTTGACTCACCCTGTATAAAACATTCTTGACCGCAGGCGAACACAACAACACTGATAAGGCGATCGGCAGCCGGCTGTCTGGATCATTTCCGGTGAGATTACTTAGATTTCGTTAGGTTTTGTGCAGCGCCTCTAGCGGCGGATTTAAAACTAGTGAGACAGAATTCTTCTAGCTCATCTACTGATCACGAAATTTTGTATGTGTAGATCGCAATACAAATTTTTGGGTAAAAATTAGGAACACTCGCGATATAAAGTAGTTGTAAAGCGGACTTTAGAAACATTTTCTTGTTATTCTGTATATAGCATATATATACATATATACAGTTTGTTAGATTACATTTATACCAAAAGTTTTAAGCAATATTTTCATGGAAGAATTTTTATTTTACTTCTATGGAAATAGAATCATTTATCTTTAAAAAGTAGTTGTAGTTGATAGTTGTACAAATGTCATGGAATTTATTATAGTGTTGACAGAACTTTGATATATCATAATTAGCAAATGATACTGACTTTTTTGTTTCTGGTGTATTGAAAGCTATAATTTCCATATAGATAGCGCGATCTCAAAGCATTTCCAGAATCCACGTCGATAAAAAACATATTCGTTTAATGTTTATCGAATTTTTAAATCAGTGGGCCCAAAACATATACCATTGTTAATATTTGCTAAATATGAAGAGCTATAATATTTTCCTGAAATGTTCTAGATAATAATAGTTGTTCATGGTTGAAATAAATATAAACGAAAAATGAATTAGTGCTTTATTTATCACATTTGTAGTACAAAACACTAATAGGCGTTGCTGAAAACAAATTGCGATATCCAATGATGAATGTTGTTCAGTTATTGCTTATACAGGGTGACTTCGAAGTTGAGTCATTTATTTTAACAGTGAGTAGATCTGATCAAAAGAAATGTTTTTTTCCTTTACCATTTTTCTGGTAAAATTAAAGTAACAAAGTTATAGCCTTTTGGAAGTTTGAGTACCGCCCTGTCTCAATAATAATATTATGTGCTCGTGTTTGGCGACAACGGATATAATCCGCCTTATCGGTTCATCGCATCGGAAACAAAAAAGCGAAAGAATTTGGAACGATGTTTTTACAATTATTTTATTCATTTGTATACAGTCAGTGTCAGTCGGTAACGCGTGACTGAATAGTGGTGCCTGTTGCGTGGCTCAAATGAAATAAAAAATGGCACATGTTTATGCGGATCGGTTTCCCAATCGAGTGCAACCAACCCCTCGTGCCTTTGTTAATGTAGTACAACGGGCTCGTGGATCAGGTGACTTAAGACCTCTCAGGGGAGGGCATGCCGGTGCTCCAAGACCTCACGATCAAATACAGGTCCGCACTGAAATACTTGTCGGGAGGATACTTTATAAAACAAGGTAAATTTTTTTTTTATTTTTACACACATATTTTGGTTTATCTTCCTTCTACAATCATTATCTGAAAATTAATGACTCAACTTCAAAGTCACCCTGTATTTACAAAGGAACCTTTCAGAATAAGTATAGTGGTAAGTTTTCTTTGCTTGCAGTATATTGTTTCTTCTGAAAGCAACGAAACAGCTGATTCATCGTCATTTTCCGTAGATTTGTTCCAAACAACAAACGATCATATTCGAAAGATGAATAGTTAGGTTATGTTAAAGCAGGTTAGGTTGTTTTCGAATAATACTTTGGTCTTCGGTGTTCCTGTCTTGAGGTATTCTACTCATAACTGTAGTTTTTTTCAAAACAAAAAGTCCCCACTAAAATTATTATTATTATTATAACCATGAAATAAAATGAAAATAGAAATAATCTGTGAAATAACATAACTTCGCAAAATCATAATATAAGTTTGTTGTTATTATGTTGTCGTGATTTTATCATAGACGTACGTCCATTGATTACTTCAGTACAATTTATGGTATGACGTAAGAGTCATCTTTCGTGATTTTGACTATACTACAACTATTTAAAACTGTAATGACTAATACGCGTGATCAACACGTGATCAGAGCTCGATCCCGGCTTCCTTCCAGTACAGCCGTATAGCGTACGACATATGTCGTTTCTGTGGCTTTGCGGTGGTCAACAGCACAGACAGAGATGGAAATAATGGCTGATTGTTCTCCGCCGGTAGAATCAATGAAATCACAGACGCGCCTCGACCGGCAGACTCATAGGCGTCGGCAACGCATTGGAACGTGTTTCGTTGAGCGATCGCATATTGTGTGTTTTTATAAGAATTGTTGTGTGATTGTTATTGTTGTGGTTTCTGTGGTTACTGTTTTGGTTATACTTAACCATGGAGAGTACAAATGGCACGAGTGGAAGTACTGAAAGCCAGGGAACAAGTAGACGGCTTCGTAAAGCACTGAAGAGGGACGCGAAAGAAATCGTGCTCAACGTGTTCAATTATCTGAACAGAACTATGTCGCAGGGAGATGCTCTCGCGCGTTGTGAAAGTATGACAGGCGTTCCAGAGTGGACCATTCGCAGGGTGGTGCATGCAAAGAAGAAAACTGGAGCTACTACTGATCCAAAGTTTAATTTGAAGGGACGAAAGGCCGTTAAATTGGATGACGATAGCAAAATGGCGTTAAGGCGAACCGTACATTCATTCTTCTTTAGGAATGAGATACCAACCCTCAAGGCTGTACATGCAGCGATCAAGGAAAATGAAATTATACCCCAAATGAGCGTCGAGGTAATGAGGAAATCCCTGCACGAAATTAATTTTCGTTTTACGAAACGCATAATCGGAAGTCGGTATTGATAGAGAGACCTGAAATAGTCGCCTGGCGTCGAAAATACCTACGCGAAATGATTGAATATAGGCGACAAAGCAGAAAAATCTATTATTTGGACGAGACATGGGTAAATGCAGGTCACACAGTTAAAAAACCTGGATAGACAAAAACGTAGTTAGTAACCGACAAGCAAGCATTGAAGGTTTGTCAACAGGTCTTCGTGGACCGACAGGGAAAGGTCAAAGATTGATCGTAACTCATATTGGTAGCGATAGTGGCTTTTTAGAAGAGTGTGACTTGATATTCGTCTCTAAGAAAGTAGGTGATTACCGTGACGAAATGAATGCCAGCTGCATCGAGAGCTGGTTTCAAGGGGTGCTTCAGTGAGTTGAGCTCAACTCTGTGATCGTCATGGATAATGCTTCCTACCATAGTCGTCGAGCCGAACGTGTACCGACTATGGGATCTCGAAAAAGTGACATGCAGCAACGGTTGCGCGAAAAAAGAATCCCGTTTGACGATTCATGTGTGAAAGCGGAATTGTATGAAAAAATTAAACGCACAAACCTGCGAACATTAGTTACGTGACTGATGAGATGGCCCGTCAATGTGGTGTCACTGTGCTGCGGTTACCGCCCTACCACTGTGAACTGAACCCAATAGAGCTCATCTGGGCTCAAGTGAAGGTTTTACTTGAGACTTCCATACAGCTAGTAACGCCCGAAGCTTGGCAGAATGCTATCCGTCATGTTGTGAAGGAAGAAACAAAAATGTGGCAGCTTGACCACCACATCGACACCATCATAGAGCCAGTTATAGTCAATTTCAACGAGGAAAGCGATAGCGACAGTTTATTACTGTCAGATGTAAGTGGAAGCGACGATGAATAAAGGTAATTCCCAAATTTTTGACTTACAATATGTTTCAAACCACTCTTTATTAAGCATGTGACCAATCTAGTTCACCCATGTTAAACATTCATACCCCGCCTATGAACAGCCGACTACTCGTAGTTAAGTGATGTTCACGTGAACATCGATGAGTCATTACAGTTTTAGATAGTTATAGTATATATAGTGATACGACTTTATAAAAACCGTTGTACATTTTGTTTGGCAATCAGATACCTATCAACTATTGTACTGGTGGTTAGATTCATCAACGGGATATAATAGTTATTTTTTAATAACCCTCGTTTTAATATGAAATTTGAACATCTGTGAAACTGGCAATTTAAGCCTTAATTTTTTCAAGTAAATCGTATATTTGCCCCTAAATGGTCCGAATTCGTTGATGACAGCTGATAAATTATGAAAAAAAACTATAATTGGTAGTGGAGCAAGATATTTGCCAAGTTTGATTTCGTACTGAAATAAAAAATGATTTACGATGTCTCCCAGTTGTTTATACTGTTCAAGTGCGAACGACAAGGATACCACACAGTGTAAATTTGAAAAGCACATTTTGTACCTAAGAATGATTTATTGCAAGTCACAACAAAGTAAATATAAAAACGGTCTGTATTTAAAATGAAAAATGAAACAACAATCATCTTCCCCCCAACTTTCTACAAGCTGCAGCACATTGGTTCACTCCATATACCGTGTATTGCAAAACGATCATTGAACTATGTACAGTAAACGTAAAAGACACGATAAATTTCTCTACATATATTACATATATTTCCGTCTTCGACGGTGAGGAAGTGATCTATAAAACAATTTCAACAACACTAACAAAAAGAAAATAAACTATCACCATTTGATAAACTGTTTATATTCGTCATTCACCGATATTCGCTTGATGGTTTCATAACCTATAATTATACTACAGCTGAAGGTCGCAGATTGGATCAGTCTCGCGCTCAATCCTTTGCAGAACATCCTCAAACCCTCCTCTACCCAGAGATCCCTGAACGCACACCGCATCGAACCTATTCTTTGCACCTGAAAACAGAATTTTTGAAGTTATACAGGGTGTCCCAGAAGTCGACGTCAAGCCGAAACCGGGTGATAGGCAAAGTCATAACAGCTATCAGAAAAATATTTAAAAAAATTTTATGTATGTGTTTTGAAAATTATAGGTCTTTGAAAAAAATATAGAAATTTCACACCCTACGGCAGTCTGTCAACTCCTGTTACTACAAATATTAACTTTTTTTGGATTTTATTTTTACAATGTAATGATGAATAATGCATCTTCAAAATGGTGTCTCAACCTTACTGCCAACTTTTCTCGTTCAGGAAAAATTGCCACTTATTTCCCAACCAAGTATTCCAAAGTAAAACTTTGCTCAACTTTAACTGGCTGTACTGGAAAAAATGTACTACGAGAGTTTGGCAAGTAACCTTAAAAGTTGGCGCATTTAATAAGGATTCCAAAATGGTAAACACTTAGAAGATTACTCGTTAACTTATGCACAAAGAAAAACTGATGAAAATGTTTCAAAATTTCCTAATTAAACAGCGATTATGAAAACGCACAAGGACCCTTAAGGATAACTGTTTGCACAACAGTGGGCGTCAAAATGCTGCTGATGATGATTTACCTTTACAGCAAATGCTCAAACTGTTTTCCTTCAGCCGCAATACAAGCTCGACATCTTCTTAAAAAAGATCGGGTTATTAAACGATCGAATCCACGGTTATTAACAAACTCAGCTGCTTTCAATAGTCTTTGCCGTAGCTCAGCTACATTTTGAATCGGCTTGAAATACACTTTTTCTTTTACAGTTCCCCAGTAAAAAAAATCTAACGGATTCAAATCAGGTGATCGGGCTGGCCACGGTATTGTACCAGACCGCCTTATCCATCTGCCTGGAAAGTTTTGATCGAGATACTCTCTCACTGAGAGTGCATAGTGCGCTGGGCAGCCATCATGCTGAAATCACTGTAAATACTCAGTGGCACGTCCACCAATAAATTTTGTACATGATTTTTCAAAAAATCCAAATAAACTTCAGCAGTCAAAGTCTCTGGGAACTCAAACGGACCGATTATTTTACCATTTAAAATTCCTGTCCAATGGTTTATCTTGAAGCGATATTGAGATTTATCTTCTCTCATCAAATGTGGGTTTGCTACGTGCCACTCGTGTAAGTTATGCAGGTTCATGTCCCATCTTTCTTAAATGTGGTCTCATCCGACCATAACATTTTTTTAAAGAACTGTGGATCTTTCCTGTGTCTTTCTAACATTGTGCGACAAAAAGCAACTCGGAGCTCATAATCTCGGGGCAGGAGAGGTTGAACACGCTGTATGTGGTATGGATGAAGCACATCACTTACTTGCTATTGCACACTTTGATACCGATCAGTACTCCTTCGTTTACTGCTTGTTGATTTCATACTGTTACTAATTTTGTATTCGTGAACTGGACTGTTGATCGCTTGTGATTTGGATTTGGACTGTTTAATTGCTCTTCAAAACAACATTTGCTTTCCTTATACTATCTTTGATAGTGTGATTGTGCAGTGCCGCTATGTCCGTGTACACCGTACAAGAATATGCTAACATGCACCTCATTTATGGGGAATGCAGATGCAACGCTAGTGCTGCAGCGAGACTTTACTGTGAGAGGTACCCGAATGCAGCTCGTCATCCAGATCATCGAGTGTTCACAAATGTGCACCGCTTACTGTTCTCAGAGGGCCAACTACCAAACCAATCACACGGTGAGGGAAGATATTTCCTTCCTTACGAAGACGTGGTGCTAGGAGCTGTCGAAGAAGACCCGAGTACTTCAGTGCGTGCAATAGAACTAAAAACAGGTGTGCCCAAAAGTACAGTCCATAGAATCTTGCAAAAAAACGTTCTCCATCCATACCACGTACAGCGTGTTCAAGGTCTTCTGCCCCGGAATTATGAGCCCCGACTTGCTTTTTGTCGCACAATGTTAGAAAGACACAGGGAAGATCCACGGTTCTTTGAAAAAATTTTATGGTCAGATGAGACCACATTTAAGAAAGATGGGTACATGAACCTGCATAACTTATACGAGTCGCACGTAGCAAACCCACATTTGATGAGAGAAGATAAATCTCAATATCGCTTCAAGATAAACCATTGGACAGGAATTTTAAATGGTAAAATAATCGGTCCGTTTGAGTTCCCAGAGACTTTGACTGCTGAGGTTTATTTAGGTTTTTTGCAAAATCATTTAGAAAATTTATTGGAGGACGTGCCACTGAGTATTTACAGGGAAATGTGGTTTCAGCATGATGGCTGCCCAGCGCACTATGCACTCTCAGTGAGAGAGTATCTCGATCAAAACTTTCCAGGCAGATGGATAGGGCGGTCTGGTACAATACCGTGGCCAGCCCGGTCACCAGATTTGAATCCGTTAGATTTTTTTTACTGGGGAACTGTAAAAGAAAAAGTGTATTTCAAGCCGATTCAAAATGTAGCTGAGCTACGGCAAAGACTATTGGAAGCAGCTGAGTTTGTTAATAAACGTGGATTCGCTCGTTTAATAACCCGATCTTTTTTAAGAAGATGTCGAGCGTGTATTGCGGCTGAAGGAAAACAGTTTGAGCATTTGCTGTAATTATGACGCCCACTGTTGTGCAAACAGTTATTCTTAAGGGTCCTTGTGCGTTTTCATAAACGCTGTTTAATTAGGAAATTTTGAAAAATTTTCATGAGTTTTTCTTCAAATAAAAATTGTGCATAAGTTAACGAGTAATGTGCTATACCATTTTGGAATCCTTATTAAATGCGCCAACTTTTAAGGTTACTTGCCAAACTCTCGTAGTACATTTTTTTCCAGTACAGCCAGTTAAAGTTGAGCAAAGTTTTACTTTGGAATACTTGGTTGGGAAATAAGTGGCAATTTTTCCTGAACGAGAAAAGTTGGCAGTAAGGTTGAGACACCAGTTTGGAGATGCATTATTCATCATTACATTGTTAAAATAAAATCCAAAAAAGTTAATATTTGTAGTAACAGGAGTTGACAGACTGCCGTAGGGTGTGAAATTTCTATATTTTTTTCAAAGACCTATAATTTTCAAAACACATACATAAAATTTTTTAAATATTTTTCTGATAGCTGTTATGACTTTGCCTATCACCCGGGTTCGGCTTGACGTCGACTTCTGGGACACCCTGTAGATGCTTGTATAAAGAATACAATCATTCTTAATGACAAAGCTAATCTAAAACTATAACATTATTACATGTGTGGATCTTAAGCAGGTCAACTGTAGAACTCACACATGGTATAATACAAGGGCCACGCAATATATTTTGAGATACACGAACGCTAATTTATTTATGTTCAAAGTATTCTCTCTCTAAATGAGATGCTTCTAACCAGTCAGTTTTTGGAATGCCTGCAACAAACTGACTAATAATCAGACTAAAAGTATTAAGATACTCCTCCAGACAGGCTGTCGAAATGCCACGTTAATTATACACTATAAATACCGCACAGTATTTTTTTAAATCACCATATAACAAGAATATTAAGGCAGCTCAAAATTTGAGAGACAAACAATACAATAAATGTATATTCACAAAATCAAATGATGATTGGGAGGTATATAAAACTCTTAGGAATAAATGTGTATATGTAATTAGAGAAGAAAAAAGAAAATTCTACGATAAACAAATCGATAATAACAAGTGCGACAGTGTAAAGATGTGGAAGACTTTAAAAAGACTGATCAATTCGAAGCCGCATGATTGTGTAAATCAAGTTCAATTCGAAAACGGTACCGAAACAAATTCTTTGGTGATTGCAATCAAACTAAATGAATATTTTGTGGAAAGTATTGTTGATATTGTAGGTACTGCCATTGCTGCACCTGACTATATGAAAATCAGTTTCCAGGGGGAAATGTTGGATACACTTTCAAAATTTCACAGCGTATCATTGAATTATCTAAGAAAAAAAGTAAACAGTTTAAAATCAAATAACAACTGTGCCGAAATGACTACTAAAAACGTGCTGAAAAACTGTTTCGAAATTTTGGGATATCCTGTATTAAATTGGATCAATTGTTCACTGAGAAGCAGTTCTTTCCCTGAAAATTTGAAATGCTCTACAATAACACCAGTTCCCAAAATAAAAAATTCTAAAAGATGCAGCGATATGAGACCAGTAAATGTGTTACCAGACATTGAAAAATTATTAGAGTCCATAGTGCATGGACCAATTAATGCTGTTTATAGAAGAAAACAAAATTTTAGTGGAGGCGCAAGCAGGCTTTCGAAAAAAAATATTCCACAGAAACAGCTTTCCAGTTGATAACTGAGAATTGGAGAAGAGGCATAGACTCAGAAGAAGTTGTCATAGCAGTATTTTTGGATTTGAAGAGAGCATTTGGAACGATTGATAGAGATATTTTGTTAGGTAAATTGAAGGCATATGGTATAACAGGAAGTGTTTTAGATTGGTTTAGAAATTATTTGTCTAAAAGGATGCAAGTTACAAAAGTTAATGACACTATTTCATCAAAAATTGAAAATACGTTGGGTGTTCCACAGGGCAGTATCCTGGGACCACTTCTTTTTATTTTATACATAAATGATTTACCTGCCATAGTCAAAAAATCCAAAATTCAAATTTTCGCCGATGACACTATGATTTATATAAGTACTAAAAATATTCAGTCTGGTATCTCTTATATAAATGAAGACTTGAAGCTTGTCTCAAAATGGTTAGCATCTAACAGACTAAAATTAAAACAATGTACAAATGTTCAACTGAATATTGATGGTGAAGATATTGAATTCGTAGAAAATTTTAAATAAAGGGTGTCTCAGAAATATTTTCGTTTTTAGATCAGTCCTCTGGCGGAATACGCATGCTCCGGAGAAACGAGACAGTTGACAAACGTTTGGCAACATTGTTAAATTTTAGTTGCAATGGAGCGTTTTACAGGGCCGCAACGTGCTTTTTGTGTTCGCGAGTTCTATAAAAACAAGGATTCTTATGTGCTTGTACGTCGTTTGTACAGAAATCATTATAACATAGCAAGAATGAGAGATGTCCCAAGCGCAAATTTAATTAAATATTGGGTAAGAAAGTTCGAGAGCACTGGAAACACGTGTATTAGTAAACCGCCTGGACGGCCAAGGTCAGCAAGATCGAACGAAAATATTGAACGTGTGCGCCAGTCCGTTAACGAGGATCCCCGGCAATCATTAAGACTGCGTGGAGCGTCTCTAACTTTGCATAAGTCAACTGTTCATCGCATTATTCGCAAGGATTTGCATTTTCACCCATACAAGATTGTTGTTACACAACAATTAAAACCACAAGATCCCGCTAATCGATTAGAGTTCTGTAGAACAATGAGAGAGCATTTTAACGGTTACAACAACATATGGTTTTCTGATGAATCGAATTTTCACATTAACGGGCATGTTAATAAACAAAACTGCCGATATTGGGCCGAGCAGAACCCGCAAAATCTTCATGAGACGCCATTACACTCGCCTAAAGTTATCGTCTGGGCTGCTATGTCAGGGCAAGGAATCATTGGCCCGTATTTTTTTGAAGACAATCGTGGCCAAGCTCAAACTGTAACATCTGAGCGCTACTGCCACATGATTAGGACTTTTTTAACTCCAGCTATACAGAACCATGGTGGCTACAATAGAAACACGTTTTTCCAGCAAGATGGAGCGACTTCTCATGTCACGAATGAATCCTTGGATGCTCTTCATCAGTTATTCCCAGAGAGGGTCATCAGTCGCAGAGGAGACATTAACTGGCCACCGAGAAGTCCCGATTTGACACCAGCAGATTTTTTCTTATGGGGATACCTGAAGAGTAAGGTATACACCCCACCGCCACAAGATTTGAGAGAGTTCAAGCAAAAAATAACAGATGAAATAAACGCCATTCCTCGAGCAATGCTTCGGAGAGTGATCGAAAACTTCAGTTCGAGATTAAGAGAGTGTGAAAACATGAACGGTGCTCATTTATCCGATACTCTTTTCCATAAATAAAATTAATGTTTAGGCTTTCGTTTGGTAATAAATTTATCTTTGTAAAAATATTCTAAGTATTTTTATATATGGCATAAAATAAGAAAATATTTATGAGACACCCTTTACCTGGGAGTTTTTGTTGACTCTCGATTAATTTTTGATATTCATTATGAAAAAGTTATAAATAAGATTAGTAGTAAAGATATTTATCGAGAGTTTCTGGATGTCCGAGTTCATATAGCAGAAAAATTATCTATAATACCATCATTCTTCCAAATTTCTTGTACTGTTCGACTATTCTATATTTAGCAAATAATTCCATTTTTGAAAGACTGCAAATTTTACAAAATAAGTGCATGAGAATAATACTAAATAAAGATAAATATACTCCAATTAGGCAAATGCTTAGCAAATTAAAATGGCTCAATGTAAAAAAATTTATCAAATATCTTGTAATGATATTCATTTATAAAGTAAAAAATAATATATTTCCATCAAGTCTAACTAATTTAACATCATCAAATGTCGACCATCATTTACATAATACCAGAAATAAAGATGACTTCCATTTAATGAGCAAAAAGTATAACATATGCTACAAATCTGTATTCCATCAAGGGTTGATTGAATATAATAAATCATACTCGGAGATAAAGACCAGAAAACTTTGATAAAATTTAAAGTAAAATTGAGAAATCACTTGTTAAATCTACAATTATAGGTTGCCCAGCATTTACATCATACACCATATGGCTTGAATTTACTAGTTCTAAGTTGTTTACAATTGTTTTGTTTATGTAGCCAAATGTGCTAAATAAATCTTTCTACTACTACTACTATTCCTGTTCTTACCTGCAACCTAGCCCTGACAACGTCCAACGGATTCGTCAACACCGTCGTTGTGAACCCGCCTAACGTCCCGGAAACGCTCTGTATGAACAAGTGCGACACCCACGTCGGGGCGATCGCGAACAACTGGTCCTGGTAGAAATGGTAGAAGCCCCACCAGAGAGCCGAATTTGGGACGTACGCGGACAGACTCGCCCAGTACCCGCGGTAGAAACCTGCTATGCCGTCCACTTTCAGAATGTGCCGCGCTACGTCCAAGGTTAGCGCGAATTTACTACGGCCCGGTTGGATCTTGAGGCCTAGCGTGTTGAAATTCTGAAAGTTCGGAAGGGGTCTTCAGGATGTTTCAGAAATACAGTAATGGACAAAAAAGTATATAGGCAAATTAACATTGTGCTGTATTTCTTTTTTAACTTGTTTTATTAATACACCAACGTGTATACATACTTCGTTATAGCATTATACAGAAAGTAATTCATTAGATTCCTTTCAACAAAAAAATAATTGAAAAAGCTGGAGCTATGAAGGACCAAAATATATAGACAAAGCAAAACAATTACAGAAAAAAGAAGCAAAGTTCATTGCATTATAGAAAACCAACCATGTTTGTGTTAATATTTTGTAGAATAATCATTATTATCAATCACCGCCTGTCATCGTCTCGGCATAGATTGTAGTTTCTTGATATAAGATTCATCAAGCTGTCTCCACTTTTGCTCTAAAGCGGCAAAAAGTTCATCCTTGTTTAAATAATTTTTATCTCGTATTTGCTTATCTAAGTATTCCCATATATTTTCAATGGGGTTTATATCGGGAGACTGTGAAGGCCATTTGAGAACTGGTTTTTTTTTCATCCAGAAAGGATTTCTGTGCGATATTTGAAGTGTGCTTCGGATCATTATCTTGCTGGAAGATTGATCTTAACACGTTCACTGCGAACGACGCTGATCCGCGTCCGACCGATGTTTAACGAAAGGCGGCGGGCGCGGATCCGCGCTTCTGGCTGATATAAACTCACAAGACTGTGGTGTTGTCAGTTTGTACCGCACTCGCTTTCTGTTTGGTCACCTACATATTGAACATCTTTTTGGACTATTTTACGCGTAGGATCTAGTTTCGTTTATTTTTACACTGCGCAATGGCGGATGATGTGGAAGCAGGTTGTTCACGTCCAAAACGAGTGAAAACGTATTGTAACCGTAATAAAGGGCTTACAGAAAAAGAACTGTATGATATTCTTGCCAATTCGGGGAGTGAAATCGAGAATCTAAGTGACTCAGACAATTATGTTCCCAGTTCAGATGGAAGTGAGCAGTCTGATGGAAATATGTCTGAAACGAGTGATGATTTTTCCAGCCCACAGAAAAATCTTTAATAGGGTTTCAAGACATGTTTCGTGTTACTGCACGAAAAAAAAAACGAGATAGAAGAAGAAAATGTATATATGAAATAGTTTTCAATTACACAACGCACATCCAATAGGCTTACGACGCGAATCCGCGCTTTGCTTGTGTAGCGCCTAAAATCGTTTAGCCGCTACCGTGCGCGCGGCGCGAGGCAGGTCGCAGCGAACGTGTTAAGGGCATATTGTTTTCCATATAGGGTAACATGACATGCTTTAGTATGTAAAGGTCCCATCCCAAACCCCGAAAAGCACCCCCAAACCATAACAGACCCGCCTCCATGTTTGACAGTGGGCAAAGTGTACTTGGGGTTCAATCTTTGTCCACTAGGACGTCTAACACTATCTGATCCAAACATATTGAACTTGCATTCGTTACTGAAACATACCCTCTTCCAGTCACAGATGCTCAAATCAAGAAGCAACCGTGCAAATTGTAATCGGTCCTCATGGTTTTTCCTCGAGATTAGCGGCTTCTTACTCGGGCAAATAATTTCAAATCATTTAATCTTCTACTTATAGTTTTCGTAGAAACACTGAACATTACTTTTGTCTCGATTTCGGCTTTTATTTGTCTTGGGGTTTTAAACGGATCCTTGGACGAAATCACTTTTATTAATGTAACTAATGTAGCATTTAGTTTTCTAGGCCGACCACTTCTCGTAGAGGCTTCCAAGATACCTTTTTGTTTATATTTGTTCAATATTGCCCAAACTGCTTTACGCTTCAGCTTCAAATTTTTGGCAATGTCGACTTGACGTTGACCATCTTTTTAAAACTCAATGATCTTAGTTTTCACATCGAAAGAAATTTCTGGACTACCCGGCATGGTCTTAAAATCACTCAACTTATTCCACAATACTTGATGAATACAAACTAATCCTCTTCTGACACCAAACTGTACTAAACTAATGTTGAAAAGAATTTGTCTACATATTTTTGTCCCTGATAAAAAAGTGCTTATATTCAGACTTGTATTGTGTTCATTGCAGATAATGTAAAAACAAGGAATTTAGTTTTTCTACTAATAACGGATTTGTTTATGGAGCAATGAAGTATGAATTCGTTTTCTAAAGGTATTTAGGTAAATATTCATATTTGTCTATATACTTTTGTCCATTACTGTATGTACATTAAAAAATATCACAATAGGTTCCTTTAAATATGGGTCCAAGGATGCTCGACTACCGGGTTACAGGGTGATGAAGTTTTATTTACGAAATCCAAGAAAAATATATACAGTAGCGGACACAAGTTTGTAAAAATTCTTAGTGATTTTTGAAAAGTGCGCTAACTTTTATTCTTTGACTATTTTTTTCCTCATAAAGTTTGCTTACAGTGTTGAGGACACTTTGTGTTTGCTGAGAGACTAGCCTTAAAATACCTTCATATTATTTTATGACCAAAAATGATACGACAAAAGAATGGACACATATTTTTTGTTACAAAATTAAATACAAAAAATACTGTTTAGCTAATATTTGGTAGCATAGCCTTTAACATTCAACACTGCCTGACATCTACTGCTCATAGAATGCACCAATTTTTTACATACATCTGTTGGGATATTTTGTCCAATATTTTTTACATAATCAAATAAATCGTTCCTATTTTTAAAAGTTTTTCTTGTCAGTTGTCTTTTAACATGCTCCAAGAGATGTTCTATAGGGTTTAGGTCCGGGGATTGCGAAGGTCATGTAAGAACATTAACATTTTTTAGTCTTAACCAGTCCTTCACGAATTTTGAGGTATACTTGGCGTCATTATCTTGCTGGAATGTCTATCGTAAAGGCATATTTTCTGCAACAAAAGGGAGCATGTGTTCACTAAGAATATCTTTGTCAAGTTTTTGATCTATTTTCCCAACAATTTCAACAAATAGACCTGTTGCAGAACTTGAAAAACAGCCCCAAACCATGATGTTGCATCCACCGTGCTTAACTGTTGGCAAATGCTGTACACATTTTTTGAGTTTCCGGAATTGAAACAGTCAAGTGTTTTTTGACACCAATTAACCCTGGCTGCTTTCCGCTCGTCAGTCAACAGGTGGGGTATCCAACGAGAAACTAATTTTCTGACTCCTAATTCTTCATGTAAAATTTTTTGAATTGAGGTGTTTGAGATCTTCAAGGACGCCTCAATCTCGCGATATGTCACATGTCTATCTTCAATGATGAGTTTGCGCACAGCATCGACGTTTTCCTGGGTGACTGCCGTTTTTGGTGCACGTTTTGATTCTTCAAAGCAACGGGAAATTGTCGACTGATGTGGCGCTTCGTAACTGTAATAAATTATGGCGCGAAAATGTTCTCGGTTGAGATACATTTTTCTAATGACTTGGCGACAGTTAAAAATTCACTGTAGTGAGAACACTGCACGTATTGTTGTGAAACTTTGAATTTAAGTTTACTAAAGAGTGAGGTTAAGATTCAGTACTGACGTACGCGCGGATCGTACGGCCTACTATATTTCTATATGCAAAACTTAAAAGAAATCCCTCGTTTAATGTAGCGATCCAAAACATAATCGGTTTTTTTTCGGTCTTCCGCACCTGGGCCGCGTTGCTGTCGATCCGTATTGTTGATATTTATTAATAATTTTCGAAATCGTGCCTTCGTTCATTTTTAAACATTGAGAAATGGCAACATTTCTGACACCACTTCTAAATAATTCAATTACTGTGTCTCTTAAATCTTTTGAAAATACTTTCTCTATTGCCTTCTCACTGATGTTAATATTCACCGCACGCAATATCAGAATATCGCAGAACGAATAAATACGGCAAAACTGATAACCTTATCATAAAAACTGTGATATTTAAAAAACGCGTGTTTTTATTCCCAGAGAATTGGAATATTGATAAGGTAAACCTTGTATTAGTACGGGAGACAAAGGTAGAGTTTAGGTATATGAAATAGTTCATAATAATGTTAATATTTGTTTCCAAACTTTTGTCCGCTACTGTATCTATGATAAAGATAATGAGTTAAGATTTTGATCAGCAATAAATACACAGAGTTCCCTGGCTCAAACTAAACCAAGTATGTAAAAACTGGGGTGCCTGGACCCCTAATAGGAAATATTTTCTACGTATCTTCGCAGGGGGGTATCTTTGAACCCACATCAGCAAGCCAGTCTCACTGTATACCTTTTCTTCTCGACCATTGACACCCATCATCATCAGATGCTGACTGAGCACGTCAAATGGCACTATGATCGTCTGCCCTACTAGAGAAGCTGCAGCCCCAGCAATCAAGGCTCTTACGTTAGAATTTACGTTTTGCTGTTTCAAAATATGCCTCGCGCCTTCGTACGTGGAAATATAGAACACACCTAAAAATATAAGAGTCCGTTTTAATGTCTTATATTATCAGTACTTTTTATATTTCGCATTTATGGGTGAGATTCCCTTTCACAGACACATCTCTTATACGCAAACCTCTTAAACAGACAGTTACTCATGGTCCCGAACAACTCTCACATAATTTGCATTGTATTAACTCTCTCTTGAACGGACTCGGAAACAATGTTCTAACCGGACAAAAAACAAAATAAAAAGAAACTCCCTGTCTTATTTTTTCTGTTGAGAGTATCGCCATTGCATTTCTCAATCGTTAATCTTTTGGTACAAGCACAAACGCAGCCTATGTGGTGCATTTCTGCCCAGCGTGAATAAGGGACATTCCTGAGTTTATCAGGATTATTAAAAGTTATGTACGAGCCCCTTCCCACTTCAGTTGGCCCAACTATTGAAATCTTAGTTTTTTTCTTATCAAACACAAATAATAAAAATGTAGCAGGGTGTTTAAAATATTAACAATCAATATTTTGATAATATATAGTAGAAAACTTTATCAGTCCCTAATCAAATTTGCAGCATAAAAATAACACATGTTGCAATTACAGCATATCAACCTATTTTCATTTCGATGCAAAATAAGTCTATAACGCATAGGTGGCTGTGAAAAATAAAAGCCATGACAATTGTTTTTATTAATCACAGCTGTCAGAATACGTTTAAAATAGTTTTGGGTAGTTAAGGTTTTCAAAATGGGTAGAGCAAAGGTTATTAGTGAGAAAATTCGGTTACTGATAATTAAATTTTTTAATTCTGGGAAATCAAACTCAGAAATTGCAACTTTGTTAGACTTATCGCGGTACAGTGTGAGAAATATTGTTAGAATAGATGAACTGGTTCAGTTAATATTAAGCCACGATATGTGAAAAAAAGTAATATCACAAATGCCGACCGAAGAGCATTAAGAAGAATAATCGTGAAAAACAGGCGTGCCAATTATTTACAATTAAGTGCTCTGTGGAGTGACGCTGTTGGAAGGAGAATTTCGAGGTCTACAACTCGTAGAGAGGCCCACAAACTGGGATTTAGCAGTTGCAAGGTAAGTTTTCTTATAAAAAAAAAAGTGAAGTAAAAACCCTAAAGTTGCACAACTTGTTTATAGGCCAAAGAAAAGACACTATTAACTCCACTGCAAAAGAAAAATCGGCTTAGATGGGCTAAAGAACATAGACAATGGACACCTCAACAATGGTGTGCAATACAATGGAGTGATGAGGCCCCATTCGAAGTTTGTGTTGGTGACAGTCGCAGTAGAGTTATTCGCAAAAAAAAATGAAGCATTCCATGTTGACTGTTTGAAGAGAAAAGTGAAATTTCCAGCATCCATTATGGTCTGGGGCAGTATGTCATCAAAAGGAGTAGGAAAACTTCATTTTATTGATGAAAATGTGGATACAAACAAATATTTGACAATTTTAGAAGAATCGCTTTTACCAGTGATGAAAGAATGTTTGACATCCGGCCGAGATTTTGTGTTTCAGCAAGATGGTGTAGCGTGCCATACCTCAAAAAAGGCTATAAAATGGATGGAAGAAAATAATGTACCACTTTTGAAATGGGTTTCTATCAGGCCAGATCTGTCACCTATTGAAACTTTGTGGCACGAGATGAAAGAGGTTCTACGACAACATCCTGCTCGTACAATCACCGAACTGAGACAAAAGCTCCAAGAAATATGGGATTGTTTTACACCAAATTTTTGACAAAACTTTGTTAACACTATACCCCAAAGAATTTCAGCCGTAATAAAAAATAAAGGTGATGTTACCCAATTGTTGTTTTGCTAACTTCGCGCATTTATTCGCACATTGTTTATTTGTTCAGATGTTCTAATAGTTATAGGTCTAAGTGATTTTAAATATGTATTTTTTACGACTAGAGTGTATCTAAAATGTTTTTGAGAAAATAAATTGTTTTAGAAGTAAATGGTTTAGTTTATAAAAGCATATTTTGGTACAAATCTTGAAGTGGGCGAACTGAAGTGGGAAGGGGCTCGTATAGGTGAATATATGGTATTTGGGTATTCAGTGTCAACCATGAAAAATAGCTAATTTGTTTCCATATAGACATGTTTATGTGTTTATACAAATTTTTAGTGACTCTTATCATGAAATTATGTTACATTATGCATTTAGCAATACAATGAGTATTTGTGTAATGTTATACCAGTTACATGTACAGAGATTTGTCGAGAAGATTAAAAAGTCAGGAATTGTTAATTTTCAAGCATTTCCACTAAAGCATTATATTTTATACTATTTACATGGATTATGTTCATGATTTGTCAATTTAAGATTTTTTTAACAGATCATTGAAATTCCAAATACTGTATATTCCTGCATATCTCTTTTAAATATATTCTCTAAATGTCAAAGTTTAATTGATAATTGACCATTTTCACTAGGAGTCCAGTTTTGGCACCTAATTTTCAAATAAGTGCTAAGTAACGTGTTTGGTATTATTTTTTCAACTATAATTTCATATAAATTTTTTTTTAATCAATAAAACTTAAATATTCACTGTAAATTGTTATATGACTTGCAAATTAAGTGAGTATTTTCGGAACTCACAATGAGTATCCGGCAACAAGCCTGCTGCCTTTAATAAGTAAATTTAAAGCTAAACAAGTAATGTTTGCAAAAAATGTGAAACCATTGCAATGGTGGAAATCACAGTAGAACAGCATAGATGATCATGGTCATCTAATGCCAATTTTCTACCAGTGGATTCCGCTGCATCTATAGAAATTATTTTTTCAACATTTGATCTAGTCCAATATAAACTTTGAAATAAGCTAGGAAATTGACGTTCATTTTAAATATAATAATAAATAGATGAGACAACAAATATTATTATTATTGGTTTTGTCATTCATTACTAATTTGCTATAATATAGTTTACGTTAATGAATGAAACCTGTGTATTTAATTAAGTATTTTTGTAGCTGATTTGATTATTATAACTCTAAGTAATCCATGAACTTCCTTCAAGTTTCATTTAAATGCTGATTATAGATCAATCCACCCTGCTTGTGGGCACTTTCCTCTAGATTTTACAAATATATGTAGCTATGTGAGACTATAAATAGATAAATAGAATAACATACCACTTATTATTTGTACTGAAGATACCCAGAATCCCCGATACAGGCCTGTGAAGCCCTCATATCTGTAAATCTTACCATATGCATCCAACATACCTTAAAAATGTAAATTTAGTTACTGCAAATTTCTTATCAACTCATCTTACCCGTATATAAGTCGTTATGTTTCTGAATTTGCAGTCTAGTCTTGATGAGGGTTAATGGATACAATGCACAACGAACAGTAAAAGAACTCAACATGGACAGTGGAAAAAACTTTGTTTTGTCCATCATATCCCACTCTATGGTTTTTATATATTGACTGCTCGGTTCATCCATATCTTTCTCATCTACCACAGTGTAAAAGTCCATCTCAACAGCGGTATATTATTGTCGAATTCGAAATCTTTTCCAGTGGTGCAATATATGTTCGAATGGGTCCTCTCTCATCTTTGATAGTTACAGTTAGCTGCGTAACATTTTGCAATGCTAAAAGTACAACGGATAATTATTAGATACGCTTTATCTACATTATCAAATACAATGTATATTTAAAATACACTTTCGACTTTGAATGTCACATGTCAAAAAAATATCTTACATAACCTCAATTTTTTATCAGCTGACTTTGGGCCAATAATACAGATTTCTTTTCTATGATTGAGACGTAGCGCGTTGATTGATTTCCACCCTGTATTAACTTACAGCGTCATCTGTAGGGCGACGCTCAAAGCTTAAGACTTCAGATTTCTTTCTTGTAAGAAACGTAACGCTTTGATTGTTTCTTTGATGTTTTCCATTTGTCACTTGTCAGTGATTTGTCAATTATAGACGGTAAATTTAAATTTAGGTTGATTAGGGTGTTGATTAGATTGTCAAGTTGATTGCTTTTGCCAAATCTGAACATATAAGAAACAAAATGTCTTCAGCAAATACTACCCGTTCCTTAGATGTAGCTTTCCTTCAAAACCAGTTGACTTTGGCTAGGAGAGAAATCAATAACTTGAGGTAAAAAAGCGAAATACTGTGTAATTTTTTTAACGCTAAACTTTTGCAGACAACAAATGATAGCCTTGAACCATGTATATAAAAAGGAGCACGATATAATAAACAAGAAATTAGAGGAATGGCAATGTAGAAATTGTAGGATAAGTCAAGATCTGCCTGCTTCAACGTCTAGGCAAGAACATGCAGACTTTAAGGCCAATTACATTGGGGTGATAACGACAAGCTTCCCAGAAAAAAGGGGCACCCCCAGGCAACCGGGGATATGCGCTGATATGATAGCAAAGTTAACTCTTAGTAAAGATGCTTTCACCAATCCAGCACATACACTGGAAGGTGTGTTTAGTAAGATTCATATATATATTTATAAATTGTCGATTCTTAATTTATTTTTTGAAATAGCCAAAAGTTTAAACCTGTATTTGGCACTGTGATACTTCTCTTAGGTCTTTTATAAATCTATTGACAGGTTTACAGGAATTTTCCCACATGTGGATACTGTTCCATTTCCATAAAAACGAGTCCACACACGTTAAAGCCAAGGTTGCACCCCCCAGATTGAATGGCACCAGAACAGGTGTGTTTGCTACAAGATCTCCTCATAGACCTTGCCCTATAGGATTATCATTGGTGAAAATTGACAGAATATTAGACGATACTATTTATTTTAGGTAGGTAGTAGTAATTCTGTGATCAGCATCTTCTGAATGGGATTGAATAAGTAGATTAGGTCTCCAAGGTTTTCAAAAATTTGTTCTAAAAGCCATATAAAGGTTTATGAAGGATGTTTTTTGCCACATCTGTCTTTAATACAGTGTGAACAGCAATTTATTTGAGAATATATGAGGTGTTAAGTATAAGGGTTTAGTATTACTAAACTACAATTTATTTAATGCTACTTTATACTGTTGACCTCGGAAATAGAACGGAAAACTTCATGTTCAGCTGTAACCTTGGGTGAACATTATTTTAACCTTGACCATCCTTGTCAAGGTTATCGTAAAAGCAAAATTAAGGAGGCACAGGCAACAGTGGCTCCATTTTCCCTAGCCGTGCATTGGCGACCTTGATCGTGATTTTGACCACCAAATTAAGGTCCATACAATTTTTTTGCATGGTGCCCTTTATGTTTGATCTAGGAAGCGTATAGACCAGAAAAGTTTACTATTACACATGACCTTGGTCGGGGGACGTCAAAGTTATTTCCACCCAAGGTCATATCTAGACGTAAAATTTTCTCTATCAAAAGTATCAGGTCCCTTACACATGACCTTGATCAGGGACGCTCCAGGTCAAAGTTATGTGTTCACCCAAGGTCATATCTATACTATAACTATCTAAAACTGGAATGACTCATCGATGTTTACGTGAACATCACTTAACTACCAGTAGTCGGCTGTTCATAGGCGGGGTATGAATGTTTAACATGGGTGAACTAGATTTGTCACATGCTTAATAAAGAGTGGTTTGAAACATATTGTAAGTCAAAAATTTGGGAATTACCTTTATTCATCGTCGCTTCCACTTACATCTGACAGTAATAAACTGTCGCTATCGCTTTCCTCGTTGAAATTGACTATAACTGGCTCTATGATGGTGTCGATGTGGTGGTCAAGCTGCCACATTTTTGTTTCTTCCTTCACAACATGACGGATAGCATTCTGCCAAGCTTCGGGCGTTACTAGCTGTATGGAAGTCTCAAGTAAAACCTTAACGTCTGGTAATTTGAAGGTTGTGTTATGGCGCGCAATATAACCCTTCACTTGAGCCCAGATGAGCTCTATTGGGTTCAGTTCACAGGGATAGGGCGGTAACCGCAGCACAGTGACACCACATTGACGGACCATCTCATCAGTCACGTAACTAATGTTCGCAGGTTTGTGCTGTTTAATTTTTTCATACAATTCCGCTTTCACACATGAATCGTCAAACGGGATTCCTTTTTCGCGCAACCATTGCTGCATGTCACTTTTTCGAGATCCCATAGTCGGTACACGTTCGGCTCGACGACTATGGTAGGATTCATTATCCATGACGATCACAGAGTTGGGCTCAACTCGCTGAAGCACCCCTTGAAACCAGCTGTCGAAGCAGCTGGCATTCATTTCGTCATGGTAATCACCTCCTTTCTTAGAGACTAAAATCAAGTCACACTCTTCTAAAAAGCCACTATCGCTACTAATATGAGTTACGATCAATCTTTGACCTTTCCTTGACGGTCCACGAAGACCTGTTGACAAACCTTCAATGCTTGCTTGTCGGTTACTCACTACGTTTTTGCCTATCCAGTTTTTTTTAACTGTGTGACCTGCATTTACCCATGTCTCGTCCAAATAATAGATTTTTCTGCTTTGTCGCCTATATTCAATCATTTCGCGTAGGTATTTTCGATGCCAGGCGACTATTTCAGGTCTCTCTATCAATACTGACTTCCGATTACGCGTTTCGTAACGAAAATTAATTTCGTGCAGGGATTTCCTCCATTACCTCGACGCTTATTTGGGGTATAATTTCATTTTCCTTGATCGCTGCATGTACAGCCTTGAGGGTTGGTATCTCATTCCTAAAGAAGAATGAATGTACGGTTCGCCTTAACGCCATTTTGCTATGGTCATCCAATTTAACGGCCTTTCGTCCCTTCAAATTAAACTTTGGATCAGTAGTAGCTCCAGTTTTCTTTTTTTCATGCACCACCCTGCGAATGGTCCACTCTGGAACGCCTGTCATACTTTCAACAACGCGCGAGTGCATCTCCCTGCGACATAGTTCTGTTCAGATAATTGAACACGTTGAGCACGATTTCTTTCGCGTCCCTCTTCAGTGCTTTACGAAGCCGTCTACTTGTTCCCTGGCTTTCAGTACTCCACTCGTGCCATTTGTACTCTCCATGGTTAAGTATAACCAAAACAGTAACCACAGAAACCACAACAATAACAATCACACAACAATTCTTATAAAAACACACAATATGCGATCGCTCAACGAAACACGTTCCAATGCGTTTCCGACGCCTATGAGTCTGCCGGTCGAGGCGCGTCTTTGATTTCATTGGTTCTGCCGGCGGAGAACAATCAGCCATTATTTCCATCTCTGTCTGTGCTGTTGACCACCGCAAAGCCACAGAAACGACATACATATGTCGTACGCTATACGGCTGTACTGGAAGGAAGCCGGGATCGAGCTCTGATCACGTGTTGATCACGCGTATGAGCCATTACAGTTTTAAATAGTTGTAGTATAGTCATAAACGTTTGCGCTCTGCATTAAAAGTATTAAGTCCTTTATACATGACCTTGATCAGTGACGTTCAAGGTCAAATTTATTTTCACCCAAGGTCATAGACGTAAAATTTTCCGTTCTATATATACCCTGTACATTATTTTCAGCGGTGTAGACATGATAGACAACACACCCGTCCTTGACATAAAACCATACATTCCTCAGTATGACAATCCGGGCATTGTGAACTTGAACATCCCAAATGTAGATTTGAATGAGTCAGTTACAGAAATAGCTGACGCTGCAAGAGATTTGAGCTTAGCTAGCACCTCTGTAGATGACGGGTTCGAAAATGGTCGAATAATGGATGGCGAAGAGAATGTTAGGAGAGAACAGGTGTTAGGATCGTCTGTGACTGAAAGGAGTGCATCTAGGCTGGAGGAAAACTATGCCAGGTAAAGAATAATATACAATGATGTTGGTTGTCAATATTTATGCCCTACTTCAAAAGTTCCCACTTGACTTTAGTTGAGGATGTAACACTTTGCCCACAGGTGGCCCTAAGTATTTGTATTTCAGGCTCTTACACTGGACAGCTTCCATTGCGGCATATTCCAGTTTATTCCTGATAAAAGATTGTTTTAAGGTTGTTCGCATCAGCAAAACCCGACCAGTGTCTGACACGCTATCCCAATGTTTTATTCCACTTGGATATCTTCTGACTCTTGTTTCACAGATCTCACTCTCGGATGGGCGAGAGAGAAGCCCCGGACGGTGAAGAAGAGGAACCACCAGAAGCGGCTCAGGCATTGCCGGTCAACTCGGGAGCGCCACAGGGTCATGTTCGGGTGCCGTCTTGGATCGATAATCCGCCCGCGTCTAGATTGACGGTTTTATTCAAAGACAGGGCGCTAATGCAACTCGGTCAATTGGGATCTGAGGTTAGTAACGTCAAAGTATACACAGTTACCGGTAGAAGAGTCAGATAAATACTTTGACATATTTATAAAAATAATTTTGGCCTACCCAGTCATCAAAGACGTTATGCCTATCATTGATAGCAAAATTGTCAAACTCTTTGTTTTCCCCTTAGGGTGAAGAGAAGAAAACCACGATAACAAATATCCTTCAAGAAGACCCGCGAAGTGTATATCTTCGAGAAAGGTGGAGCAGTCATTGTTATATATTCAGAATAGCTGAGCTGTATGTGTCTTGTAAATTCAATGATAGTACTCAAACCGTAATGGTGTACCAGGTGTTTCAAAATGAAGTACCTCCTGATACCGACGATTGAGCTGACGATAATCATTTCGATATCAGTGATGGACTTATTGTAATAACATTTTGGGTATAACTCGTAAGTAGATTGTTATTTAAAAATATATTTATTATAATTTACGATTTGATGATCGTTATGCATCTTTGAATTAAGACAGTCAATAAAGTATTTGAAGTAATGTGTGTATATTCTCTTGTTATACCCGCATTCCCAGTGTAATATGCACCAGTTGACAGTCGCAGTCAAACTGACAGTCACTATTGCGTATTTATCATAGTGGAACTAGCGGCAGGTTTATATAGTCAAAATCACGAAAGATTACTATTACGTCATACCATACATTGCTGAAGTAATCAACAGTGTTGACAGAAGTAGCGGAATTCCGCTACTGGTAGCGGAATTTTCAAGTGGTAGCGGCGGAATTGGATTTTTTGTTAAAAGTAGCGGAATTTTGTAATTTAGGTACACATGATGGATATTTTTACCAGAAAAAAGAATGAATGCAGTTAGTAACCAAATCTAAATACAGATATCTTTCCAATCGACAGTGGTAACCACCGGTCGGTACTTCATATTCAACGCAGACGCGTATAGATGATAGTAGGTGGTAAGGACAAAACCTGTGAAGTCTATTTCCAAAGTATGTCTAATAATCTTAACTTTTGCCACATGGTAATGCAGATATCCAGTGGACATTCTGATATATGGAGATAATCAAAGCAAAGAAAAGGAATCGTATTTTATCTTTAACTTTTGTTCGCGATAATTATCAAACTCTATACAATACAAAAAAATGTTGCTGCCTAGACTTCGAGTTTGGTGAAAAACATTTTAAAAGATACAAAAATAATTTATATAGTATAGAGAGAACAGAAATACAACAAGAAGAATGTGATACAGACAGTGACTAAGTTTAAGTAACTCAAACATTTTTTTATGCAAAACAGATATGGCTTTTAGTCATATCCTTTTTTATTTTTAAGTTTCCTGTGATATTTTTTTAATATGACTGCGTGATAAATGTTCTGTTATTTGACAGTTATTTGTAATATTGTATTGGTTTTTATAGTCAAATGTTTTTTTATTACAGTTTTATGTTATATTTTATCACGTTGTTTGGTTTTTGTTTTCCTTTTTTGACACAATCTGTATAATAAATGCCCCCCGGTCTTAATGCGCCCCTCCCCCGACGATAATCCCTGGGGTAGCGAAAAGTAGCGGAGTTTTTCGATACCAGTATCGGAATTTTCAATGTTGGCTCTGGCAACACTGGTAATCAATGGACGTACGTCGATGATAAAATCACGATGTCAGGAACACAATGACAACAAATTTATGCTATGATTTTGCGAAGTTAGGTTATTTCACTGATTATTTTTATTTCATGGTTTTGGGTGATACCTTAATAATAATTTTACTGGGGAGTTTTTGTTTTGAAAAAAAAACATGAGTAGAATCTTAAGACAGGAACACCAAAGAAAAAGTATTATTCGAAAACAACCTAACCTGCTTTAACATAACCTAACAACCAGTCATCTCTCAAATATGATCGATCATGCAACATGAAAACATCGTCTATCTTTGTCGGATACATGCAAATTAGCAATACAGTCTGTTTAGACAATAAAATTCTGTTTGTCTCTGTCTAACATATCTGAAACTTTATTAAAAATATTCACAAATCGCTGTCATTTGTCTTTGACAGACTAAAATGATGACGCAATCGTCATCTTTCGTGATTTCGACTATACATTTTAATAGTTGTAGTCATGAGCATAAGAATCGTGGCGCTATATAAAGGGTGTCTCAGAAATATTTTCGTTTTTAGATCAGTCCTCTGGCGGAATACGCATGCTCCGGAGAAACGAGACAGTTGACAAACGTTTGGCAACATTGTTAAATTTTAGTTGCAATGGAGCGTTTTACAGGGCCGCAACGTGCTTTTTGTGTTCGCGAGTTCTATAAAAACAAGGATTCTTATGAGCTTGTACGTCGTTTGTACAGAAATCATTATAACATAGCAAGAATGAGAGATATCCCAAGCGCAAATTTAATTAAATATTGGGTAAGAAAGTTCGAGAGCACTGGAAACACGTGTATTAGTAAACCGCCTGGACGGCCAAGGTCAGCAAGATCGAACGAAAATATTGAACGTGTGCGCCAGTCCGTTAACGAGGATCCCCGGCAATCATTAAGACTGCGTGGAGCGTCTCTAACTTTGCATAAGTCAACTGTTCATCGCATTATTCGCAAGGATTTGCATTTTCACCCATACAAGATTGATGTTACACAACAATTAAAACCACAAGATCCCGCTAATCGATTAGAGTTCTGTAGAACAATGAGAGAGCATTTTTGAGGTTACAACAACATATGGTTTTCTGATGAATCGAATTTTCACATTAACGGGCATGTTAATAAACAAAACTGCCGATATTGGGCCGAGCAGAACCCGCAAAATCTTCATGAGACGCCATTACACTCGCCTAAAGTTATCGTCTGGGCTGCTATGTCAGGGCAAGGAATCATTGGCCCGTATTTTTTTGAAGACAATCGTGGCCAAGCTCAAACTGTAACATCTGAGCGCTACTGCCACATGATTAGGACTTTTTTAACTCCAGCTATACAGAACCATGGTGGCTACAATAGAAACACGTTTTTCCAGCAAGATGGAGCGACTTCTCATGTCACGAATTAATCCTTGGATGCTCTTCATCAGTTATTCCCAGAGAGGGTCATCAGTCGCAGACGAGACATTAACTGGCCACTGAGAAGTCCCGATTTGACACCAGCAGATTTTTTCTTATGGGGATACCTGAAGAGTAAGGTATACACCCCACCGCCACAAGATTTGAGAGAGTTGAAGCAAAAAATAACAGATGAAATAAACGCCATTCCTCGAGCAATGCTTCGGAGAGTGATCGAAAACTTCAGTTCGAGATTAAGAGAGTGTGAAAACATGAACGGTGCTCATTTATCCGATACTCTTTTCCATAAATAAAATTAATGTTTAGGCTTTCGTTTGGTAATAAATTTATCTTTGTAAAAATATTCTAAGTATTTTTATTTATGGCATAAAATAAGAAAATATTTATGAGACACCCTTTATTTCCGACTTTCAGGTTTATTATGTTTTCATAATCTTAAAAGGTCATAATATCCAAAAAAATAAAATTAGCTGTTTAGAACCCCCTTTACGAAAACCATATAATAAACAGTTTGCCTGAAAAATTCGCTAAATTCGCCCAGAACGTACATATGCCACTGGTTGACCTTCGAGTTCATTTTGATTATATTGTGCTTTTTCAAATGTATAAGCCAACTTTAAAATCAAATTCAACTTCTTATATTATCTGAAAAATGAATTTTGAGTGAACAAGTCATTGATTTAAGGCAGAACTATGTCAAAACTATTTTTGTAGATTCTGCGGTATTTACACTATATCATAATCATAGGCCTGATTTATTTGATGCTAAGCAATTTGTCAGTGACGTATGATAATTTTAAACAATCACAAAATATACCCTATTTACTACATGAAGAAGAAATCTGCATTCATATTTAAAAATGTAACTTACCTTCTAACATTTGCTGTTTAGATGGCGCTGTGAAAATACAGCTGCTGTCATCTCTTAGAGGAAACTTTAAGCAAACAAAGGGGTCAAGCTACGCGTTATGTTGCAATTTCATATACAGAAAAGAAGCCTGTAACCAGTACGAGAACCGGAACCTGTGTATCAAAAACGAGAATATTGTTGCAACAAAAATTGCCCGCTTATTGAAAATGAGGAGTAAAAGGTATTTAATCTACGATTGACGTTTCAAATATTTTAGACAAAGAATGAAATTGCATTCATATTTAAAAATGTAACATACCTTTTAGTCTTTGCTGTATAGATGGCGCTGTGGAAATACAGCTGCTGTCATCTATTAGAGGAAACTTTAAGTAAACAAAGGGGTCAAGCTACGCGTTACGTTGCAATTTCATAAAGAAGAAAGAAACCTGTAACCAGTCTGAGAACTAAACTGAATTGCAGTATCAAAAACGAGACTTTTGCTACAAATGTCGACCAATTAATTAAAAACGCCTTGTCTCAAAATTAGAAAAAAAACATCTATGACATACGTTTCAAATATTTTACATAAAGAAGAAATCTGCATTAATAATTAAAAATGTCACTTTACGCTTCGAATTTTGCTGTACAGATGACGCTGTAGAAATACAGCTATTGCCATCTCTTAGAAGAAATCCTAAGTAAGCAAAAGACTTAAGCTACGGGTTACGTTGTAATTTCATATTGGAGAAAGAAACCTGTAACCAATATCAGAAATTAAAAATACAATCGTTATAGATATATTACTTTGGAAAATTTATATTATCTGTTACTGTATAAGTTTTATTACTCTATTTTTCCTTGTTTCCTGCACTGGAGTAGTGAGAAAACTTTACTTTTCAAATGCCCCCAAAGAAAGTAATCTAAAGGACTTAGGCCCGAAGACCTCGGCGGCCACTCGATGGGGCCTCGTCTGCCAGTCCAATGACTCGGTAAATGGGTGTAAAAAACAACAAATATTAAATAACAGATTTGCATTTGTTGATTAAACGTTGGGACATTAATTCGCAAAGCTCCAACCTGCTATTAAAATCGTCTTCAATAATCTCATGGACTAGTGTTATCTTGGATGGGTGAAATTTATTGCATTTCAAAATTCTTTATGCGGTACTGTTGCGTCTTGTAGAACTTCGAATTTCGCTGTTTTTTGACTTTGAAGATTATTCTAAATAAAAGTGTGGATGAAGTACGCTTTTCAAGATTTTTTTTCTCATAACACTATCTTTAGCAGTTATTTCCACCATTATTTCCACCGCCATCTGCCATATGACTTGACGTCTGTTCATATGTCATATATGAGATGCGCTTGCCTGCGGTGTTGCCGGATTGGGCTCCGCATTTAAGGAAAAATATGAAAAGTGGAACATCAAAATCGTCTTCAATAAGCTCATGGACCAGTTTTATCTTGGACGGGTGATATTTATTGTCTTTCAAAATCCTTCGTTCTGAAGAAATATCCAGTGCATGAGTGCTTTAGGTGTTCTCAAGCTTTTGTATTGTTTTATGAATAAATAAATATTAAAAAAGAATTCCGGTTTATATTCGATCCACCATCGTATAAACGGAT